ATTTCCTAAGGCAGATTTTTCTAAGGCATTTAGCTTCTTCCTATGGTAATATGTTTTCGAATAATACTTATCTACATATAAATTACACATACCATAGATTGAGGTAGTTGGTTTCCCACATTGTTTACAAAAGTTCCACTGACGTCTTTTTTAATGAATTTTGCATCCTTCTTTTCAAATACTAGCTTTTCTGCATACACTTCCTTCATTAGAAATATATTGGTAGATAAATTCAGCTCTCATTGGGTATCTCTTAAATTACTATAATTATTTTTTTTTATTTAAACTTTTTTTCCAGGACAATATATCCCGAGTTTAGGATATAGTATACCTTTCAAAAATTATTTAAAAATGACATAATCTGAACTTTTAGATTTCCTTGACGCCTCACCTTTTTTCACCCAGAGGCCAAAAAAGATAAAATGGAAGGCCAACTGATTCGCTATTCTGGTGAAAAAAACTTGTTGGATTTTTCAATACTGGATGATATGGTTGCGGGAAATAATGAGGGATTAACTCTAATACTTAAGAATGCTTTATCTAAATGATAAGATATTCCATTTATGGCTATTGAGAATGAAGGATCATCAGAAAAGATAAATAGAACGTACTGCTATATATTGTGTCTTTATGGTCATCTTATTAATGGCCAAAAGGCACTAGTAACTCTTAAAGACATTTGGGTATTCTTTGACATTCTTGTGCCAAATGACGAATCTCCTGATGAATGTGAAACAAAAATAAGAGATATTTTATCTGGTAGTGTGAAGACATTTTCAGTAAAGCATATTAAGGCATTCCCTTTTCATGACTATTATACGAAAAAAAAGTCATATTTGCGAATTTATACAAACAGTACTGGTGGTAGAAAAACTGCTATTAAAGCTGTTCAAGATAATAACTTTGAAACTGCTTCAGATGATTTATACTCATTTTACCATAAGATAGCCTGAGAGAATGGTATTCAACTCTCTGGATGGTCTACAATAAACAAATATATATGCAAGAAAGGTAAGCAGACCAGCCTGCTTTGTCCGCACAAATTTTACGTATCTATAAAAGATTTCTGTCCACTGAATGATCTTACAATAAATAATAAGTGACTGAATTCTCATTTCAGCTCTCTTATGAGATCGTACTCTTATCCTTACATGGGATATAGAGATGCAATCATGAGAATTGGAAGAATTTGCAAAAGTTTTTGAACAGAAAAACAAGGTCTTTATGATTTGTATGACATTACACTGAAAAGATGATCCAAAACCACTAAAGCAAATATGTCTTATTGATGTTGAAATGGAACTAGATCTGTGATAGATGACAGTCATATATGGAAACCAAGTAAATCTACTAAAAGCTTTCGTTCTCTGCTGGTAAGCATTGCCCTGATATTTATGTTGGGTTTAACGATTTAGATTATGATTGGCATTTTATTATGAAAAGAGCATATTATCTCAACATACTCGAATGGATGTGGGAGCGAATGACAGGAAAGTTTGAAATAAAGGAAAAAAATATAAAATGGAAATATCGTGAAAAGATAGAAGCGAAATCTGAAAATAATTTCATGAAAAAGTATCCTGTTAAGGCTCTCGAGAAAGATGAAGAGGATCCAGAGGAGAAAGAATATATGGGTAGTTCAATTAAGATCAAAATTAGTACAGAAGATAATTTTACTTCTAGCTTCCTTAAACTGCCAGGTTGCGTACTGAGGGATGTTTGAGTGTGCCTCAAAAAACGTTTTCCTCATTCTAAAGTCGAAAAGAAAAGTTCTCTTAAATTTTTCTTACAAAAGTGTGGTTTTGACAGTAAGGCCAACATGCCATATGATAAAATGTGAAAAATCTATTCACAGGCAAAAAAAGCCCTTTCTCAATAACTGCGAGAAATATGTATGAAGTAGCATATTACTGTATTATAGATGCACTGCACTGTCAAGAGCTTTTAGTAAACCAAAGTATAATAAATGATTATAGAGAAGTTGCTTCTATAGCTTATGTTTCTCTTTTCAATACATACTATTGTGCAAATGAAATGAAGGTACAGAATCTTCTTGAAGCATATGCTATCAAACGAGATATAGTAATAAGTACAAGGGTTCCTGAAAATATAGAAAAAGGGAAATATCCTGGTGTGTACGTAATTTCACCTAATAAAGGGATTGAAAGTAAAAGACCTGTAACAGGATTGGATTTCACTTCATTATATCCCAGTATTATCATGACATATAACCTCTCCCCAGAAAATTTATATTTGATCCAAAGGATGTTAATATTGCGCAAAATAATAGAAATAACTTGCATAAGATTGAGTTTTCATTTAATAATCATATCGTCTAAGCTTAATGCGTCCGCTATAATAACTAAACAGAAAAGAAAGGCCTATATCCTGTTGTATTAGAGGATTTAACTAACAAGAAACTGGAGCTTAAAGTACGTCTGGCCCTACTAGGAAAGAAAAGGGAACATTTTGGAAAGATGATAAGTTCAGCTAAAGAAAATGGTAAAAGGATACCAGAAAGGATAAATTTAGAATATTCATCCGTATGCTTCGATTACGATTATTGGGATTCAAAGCAAAAAGCTTTGAAGGTATATATAAACACTTTTATAGGGAAGCTGAAAACTCACTATCTCCAATTTTTCTTCGCGAATTAGCCTGTGAAACTACTATAGCGAAAAATACAACCTTAATCTTGTTGCTGAATTTGTATCAAAGAAAGGGTTTGGGATAAAATATGGAGATACTGATTCTTTGTATTTCACCTACCTAGATAGGTATTATAAAAAATGCGATGAAGCCTTCTCCAGAGAAGAACTTTCCAAAGAAGCGTACTGGACTAAAATGGTCAAAATTACTATAGATGTGATGAAAAAGTTATGTGATCAAGTAAATGCTTATCTTAGGATAAAAAGTGGAATGTCTTATCTAAAGATAGCATATGAAAAGGTATTATTTCCTGTCTGCTTTACTGGTAAAAAGAAGTACTTTAGGGTTAGGCATGAAGATGTAGTAAACTTTAAACTGAAAATCTTTTCATGAAAGAGATAGATACTGTAAAGCAAGGTAAATCCCAGCTTCTTAAATTCATCAGAGAAAAGATAATGAGAGAGGCTATGAATATAAATAATACACGTCCAATTCACATAATTGTTAAAGATACTCTTAGAGAAGCAGGAAACAAGAAATGAGATTTCAATGAATTTATTGTGATAGGACATGGATGGCCTAAGAAAGAAAATCTCTGCAATAATTGCTTTATAAAATGTATGAGAGAGAGAAATGAGAGGATTCCTGATCCTGGTAAACAGTTTAGCTATATTGTTATGAAGGATTCCTGTCTTCGTGATGAGAAAGACAGGTTAATACCATATAGAGTTGGGGATTATATGGAATATCCATCAAACATAGCAAAAGAGCAAACATGAAAAATAGATATCAATTATTATTTAGGCACTACAGTTGCAATGTGCACACGCTTTATCAATGAGGGCGATAGCTATCGACTACCCCATCACATAAAATAATGCAGATCAAGGATCCAGATGTGAGAGAAAAAAAGATCGACAAACACTCCCAGGATGAGGCTGTCATAAGGCATTTCGCATAATATTATTTACATATTTTTTCTTATGCAATAATACCAGCTAACTTCAATTCCTATCTTCGAACTTCTGGCTTAGGATGATCACTCCAAACTTCTGGCCTCCGATCATATAGCCCGGCCTCAGAAATGCCTGGAGATGATTTGGGATAATCATTAGTATTTTCACAAATCTACATATTTTAAAGATAAGCTTATTGGTATAATGGCTGAACTACGTGACCAGATTTTCCAATACACAGGCTTCAAACCTAACGAAATTTGTCTCTCAATCACAGAAGAGAATAGACAAGTATTTCGTAAAATAATAACAGAACAGGATGGAATGACAGATATTATAATAGATGACTATCAATTTTTACAGCAACATGGGCATAATGGTAAGGGAGGTGAATATATTCATATTGGATGATTATTAGCATGTACGGTAGCCTATGCTGAGAAGATCTTAATAAATCTACCTAAATATTTATCAGAAAAGGTATTAGCTCACATCGAAAAAAGATTCAAAGAAGTCCCACTTGCGTCAGTACTTATATGATATTAGTTAGCAAAGCTAACAGCCTATTAATATATTTTTCATGTGTGAAATAATGGTCATTTTTTAAATTCATACCCCACATATTCCATATTTTTTTCCCAACGATCTATAATTGCAAGAAGTAGTAAGGTGAGTATAATATATATTGATATCGATGACATTAAGGAGCTCGCAATAATAGGAGTAGTTGCTGGTAAAGATACCATTTCTGCATCACTTAATTGCTTTGCAACCCCTTCACTCGAAATATAGTTTTCAGAATGTGTTGGTTGACTATGAACAGATTGATTGGGTAGGGTATCTATCTGGCTTCTCGAAATCATCTCATCCCGGGGTAGTATCTCTTGCAAAGCCTTTAATATATTTTCTCTGGCAAAACTTTTATCAAATTCCATAATTTTATTTTCAAGATCGAGCTCATAGATGAGGGTCTTAAATTGTTACTGAGCCAACCTGGTAGCTTTTGTGATAAATCGTTCATAGGTAGAGGTGGAAATTAGAAAGCTCTGCTATTTCATTATCTTTTTTTGAGATTATCTCTCAGAGATGAAAATTTTCCTCCATTGAATTTATTCACACTGCAGACAAAGCATCTATTTTCCATTTGAATATGTTATGTGATAACTCTATCCCCTTTTTTATGCATTCTATCATATAATCTTTGAGGATAAATCATCCTTTGCCTGTTTCAATTCAAGCCTGAGAGAATCATTCTCTTTGGGATCAGATGAGTCTATTTGGGCTGGCTCCTCTAGTAGTCCTTCCATTATATGTGAATCACGTTCTAGTTCTAGATCTAGCAACTTACCTTCCAATTCAACTACCTTAGCTTCAAGAGAAAGGATCTTGATCTTGTCAG